AGGTGTCCTATGGTGATGTCCAGCATGTTGTGGCCCAAACTTCAGCCTCTCCCCAGCCAGTCTTTGGGAAACCATCTCAGAGGTCTGGGCAACCACTCCGAGGTCCCAAACTACAGTGGCCCACCCCAACTTGGGTGCTCTGAGCTCCATGTGGCGTCTCCAGGGAGAGGAAGCCTGGGTCCAGCAGGAGACAGCTCAGTGGGAGGCCTGAGAACTGCCCCCAACTGGGACAGTGCCCACCCCAGAGCTGGCGGGGGTGGGGTGGGGCTTCTGAACCCATGATGGTATTGTATGTCCTCTTCCTACAGAGCCAGTGGCCAAGAGCCCTAAGAGCCCCTGGTGCTTTCTGGGGACCCTGTAAACCTTCCCTGGTCTTTCACATAGTCACCATCATCCACTCCCTGCCTGCGGCCAGGCAGCTCCCTCGGGAACAAAGGCAACTTAGCCCTGGACTTTTTATTTTTATTTTATTTTATTTTATTTTGTTTTTTCCAGACAGGGTTTCTCTGTGTAGCCCTAGCTGTCCTAGAACTCACTCTGTAGACCAGGCTGGCTTCAAACTCATAGAGATCCACCTGTCTCTGCTTCCAGCATGCTGGGATTAAAGCTGTGCACCACCACTGCCTAGCAAGCCCTGTGCCTTTTTGTAAAAGTTTTATTGGTACTCTGTCCCTTCCTCATATACCACTCTGGCTATTTGGCTGTTATAGAGGTTCAGATGGCCTAGAATCTCTTGGCCTGCTGCAGCTGGCACCATGCCTCTGAGAACAGAGGAGAAAGTACTTTCCTTCACCTGTTGCGTGTGTCTGTGGTAAGTGAATTTTTTCTTTTAAAAGAGCTTCCAGAACTTTCTGGTGCCTGTAGACACCAGTGACAACAGGAAACAGCTCATAGGCCAGAGGCTGCTCACAACTGCTAGGTTCCCAAGGGGTATCCTTACCTGTGGTGGCACCGCCTGGACTCTGGGGAGGGTGAGTGGCTGCATTGGGGCACCCTTGGGAGTCGAGCCTGCGGCTTGGACCAGCACCCTCTGCAACAGACAATGGGACAGTCAGACCCACTGGAGACAAGCACTGGGGAAGACCCACTCAGAACTATGGCTTGGCTATTCCAATCCTCCTGCAGTGGCACACAGGGACCCACAGGGATGTAGACACAGGCAGGTACACATGGAAACACCCCATTGGGAATATGAAGTTCAGGACCAGGAGCCAGGGTCAGGAGGTGGCTCCTCCTCTACAGGGGACCCTGTCCTTCACTGGCAGAGCCGTAGCTGTATCTTGGCTGTCTTGGATGTAGGAAGAAGAATAACTGTGGGGGTGGAGGGATCTGGGGGAGGGGGGCACAGGGGACTGTGATCCTCCACTTTTTTTGTTTTGTTTTGTTTTGTTTCGAGACAGGGTTTCTCTGTAGCTTTGGAGCCTATCCTGGCACTCGCTCTGGAGACCAGACTGGTCTCGAACTCACAGAGATCCATCTGCCTCCCGAGTACTGGGATTAAAGGCGTGCCCCACCAATGCCTGGCGATCCTCCACTTTCTATGTGCTGCTGAGAAAATGAGTGAGGAGTGCCCTCTTGTGTTCAAGGAAGTCACTGCAAGCCAAGCGAGGTCCTGTCATGACTGGCTGGGCCTGTGGGGGGGGGACCAGCCACTGTAAGCTACAGCTAGACAAACACCACAGGGGACCCCAACACACATATGTAGACACAACATGGTGTCTGTCTTCACGCTGGAGTGAGCAGGGCTCTGACACCAACATGGTGGCTCACAACCATCTGTAATGATATCTGGTGCCCTCTTCTGGAGACCAGTCTACTTTCACATTGTATGCAGTGCCAAGTCCGCTGCAATTAAAGGGTAATGGGGTGGGGGTGGGGGAAGATGGCTCAGCAATTGAGAGCACTGGCTGCTCTTCCAGAGGTTCTGAGTTCAATTCCCAGCACCAACATGGTGGCTCACAACCATCTGTAATGATATCTGGTGCCCTCTTCTGGTATGTAGGCATACATGCAGGCAGAACACTGTGTATAGATAATGAATAGACAAATGTTTTTAAAAGCAAAGGCTAATTAGGAAGGGCTGCTCTGGGTAAGAGCTCTTGCTGTACAAGCCAAGAACATGAGTTCAAGTCCTAGTACCCCCCCCCCCCCAAAAACCCCATGTGGCTTCAAGTTTCTGTGACCTCAGTATACAGGAGGCAAAGACAACAGGGTCACTGGAGCTCGATGGCCACCAGCCTAGCCCCCATGACAGAACATGTTTTAGGGGAAGAAGGTGGAAAGGGAAAGGGTCGCAGCCCCTCTACCTGGCAGCCACATGTCACACACAGGTGTGTGCACCACACACAGCAAACTCCCACCCTCCCACTATGGTGGCACACCCCTGTAATTCCACTCAGGAAGCTGAAGCAGGAGAATTAGCTGAGAACTATTTTTTTTTTCAAGACAGGGTTTCTCTGTGTAGCTTTGGAGCCTGTCCTGGCTCTCGCTCTGTAGACCTGACTGGCCTCGAACTCACAGAGATCCTCCTGCCTCTGCCTCCCGAGTGCTGGGATTAAAGGGGTGTGCCACCAATGCCTGGCTTAGCTGAGAATTTGAAGCAAGTCTATGCTATACAGTGAGAACTCATTAAAAACAAAACAAAGCAAAAAAAAAAAAACCCTAAAACAAAACAACAACAACAAAAAACAAAAACCAATCATAAAGTGTGAATGGCACCCTGGCTACCATTTCTAGTACCATGTAAACGGGGCTCAGGCACCATCAGACCCTGTCTCAAAACCCAAAATATCTACAAATATTAAGGGTTATGTTGGGTGTGATGGTGACTACCTGTAACCCCAGCATTCAGGATAGGAGAAGGGGTAAGGCTGAGACAGGAGGATTGCTGACAGTGCCAGGTCAGCCCTGGGGTACACAGTGAGATCTTGTCTCAACAAAGCAACAGAACAAAACAGAGCCACTGAGTTTGTACCCACAGCTAACCCTGGAGAGAGCAACTGGGCAGCTGGAGCTGGGCAGTGAATGGGCACTTAATCAGAAATTGTGCAAGACTGAAGCAACACACAGTCAGAGCATGAGCGTTTTCACCTGTGGCAGGACCCAGGGACCTGAGATGCAGAGTGGCACAGCAGAGACACCAGGCCCATTGTGCCTGGGGTGGCTTTGACAGAAAGCTGAGCCACAGCCCCTGAGGGCACCTGAGGGTCAGATGCACAGGGTGTCCCTACACTTCTCTCTGGATTTAGAAGTAAAACCTGTGTGGCAAAGTGGGGGTGGAGACCCACAATTCCAGGTCCTAGGAGGCTGAGGCAGGGCCTCAAGTTCCAGGCCAGGCTGGGTTACAATATGAAATTCTGTCTGAGAAGCCCAGGACCTCAGTGGGGGAAGTGTAAAAGGGGGAGGGAAAATGATGGGGAAATGGGGAGGTGAGGAGGTTGAGAGGAGGGGGTGATGGGTTGAAAATACACTCAGGACCTTGGGCTCCATTTCTAGATGGGGGAGGAGGAGATAGAGTAGGAGATGGAGGAGGAGGAGATGGAGAAGGGGATGGAAGGGATGGAGGAGGAAGAGATGGGGAAGAGAACAGGTAGGAGGAGGAGGAGGGGAGGAGCTGGAGGAGAAGAAAGTAAAGGAGGAAGAAGATGGAAAGGAAGATGGGAGATGCCATCCTAAGAATTCTGTCCACATCTGTGTTTTTCAGGTTTTTTTCCTAAGGCACTCATGTGCGAGAGAAATGCACTTGACAGGTGGGGCGTGGCCTCTTTTGAAGTCATGGTTCCTTTGGTGACACCTTTCAAACACCAGGGGAAGCTCCGGGGATGGTGGGGCAAGCAGTTACCTGTGGGGAGGCTGGCACGGGCTGGGCTGCAGGTCGCAGAGCCACTGATGCTGGCGAATCTGCTCCGCCCTCGGAGTTCTGCATGCTCAGACCTAGAGTGGAGAGAGCAGTGGTGAGGAGGGAACCGGGGACCAACCTCTACAGTCAGCTTCCAAACCAGTGTTGAAGCTGAGGGACCCTGGCCACTGAGGCCTGGGGACAGCTCACCGATAGAGCATCTGCAGCACAAACAGTGAGAACCTGAGTTCAAATCCCCAGAGCCCATGTACTAAACAGACCTGGAATTTGCAGCTGCAGCCCAGCCCTGGACTGAAGTCTGGAATCCCAGGTTCAGTGAGACGCTGTTTCAAAGAAGACACTGGAGGTTGACTCCCAGGCCACACAACTGTATAAACTAACTAAAAAACTTTTACTCATTTGTGTTTGTGCTCACATTGTGCATTGCTGTGCACCGGTCCTTCCCTTCCACTGTGTGGAAGTTGATCCAGGCCTCAGGGCTGCTTGGTGGGGTGGTGGGGAAGCCTCTCCCGCTGGGCCACTTGAGCTGCCCTACAGCCTATGGCAGAGTCTCCTCCAGGCAGGCCTTGGTCCGCATCCCCTGCCCCCTCTACCGGGTTCTGCGGTGCCGACGCCTCCACCTTGCCTGCCTAAAGTCGTTTATTTACTTTTTATCTTAAAAAAAAAAAGACATTTATTTCACGTGTGCGGGTGTTTGCCTGCATGTGTGTGCACACCACGGCGAGTTGGGTGTGAACAGAACCCAACTCTAACCCCAGAGCCATCTCTCAGCCCCTAATGCTTTTAAAAAGGTCTCCAGAGCGAGTGCCAGGATAGGCTCCAAAGCTACACAGAGAAACCCTGCTTCGGAAAACCAAAAAAACAAACCAAAACAACAACAAACAAACAAACAAAAAAAAAGAGGTAAGAGGTCAAAAGAGGGTCCCAAGACGCCGGGGATGAGCCCGCCGGATTCCGCGTCCGCCTGCGCTGCCCCAAGCCTAGCACTAGATGGCGCCAGAACCGCACAACGCAGGGTGCACAGCCGCGGAGGAGGGAGGAGGCAGGAGGCAGGAAGAGGAGGGAGGAGGCAGCAGGAGGAGGAGGAGGACGAGGAGGAGGAGGCAATCAAGACAAGAAGTCTGAAACCAGCCCGGGCTACAGCAGACCCTGGGCTACGAAAGCAAAGCAAAAATATTTTGTAAGAAAAATCTCTTGTGTATACATATGCGGGAATGAGTAATTAAGGAGTGATGAATGAATAAAACAAATCCAGCGTTTTAGGTCAAAAGGTCAGTCAGCAAAGTGCTGGCTCTCCTGAAAGTTCGAGGACCTGAGTTGGCATCCCAGAACCCAGTAAAAAGCTACGTATAGGCTTGGTGTCCCAGCGACTGTGGGATGAGACCGAGAGACGGGTGGGTGTTCCGGGTGGGTGTTCCTGGAGCTCACAGGCCAGCCTGGGCTCCTGAGTGAGGGAGGCTTTGTGTCAAATAAACTTGTCACCGAAAACTCCCAAGAACGTCTGAAATGACCCACCCAGTTGCTTTCATGTCTGAGTAACACACCTCAACGGCTCTCCAAACAGGCCTACTGAATGCCCCGCTTCCTAGAGCTCCTCTCCCGGTGTTCATCTGAGAGGCACAGAGACAGGGTCTGAGTACGGCCCACCCAGGCAGCCATCTTACTCACCCTGGCCAACAACAAAAACTCCACTGTTCTTCCTCAGAAAATGGATGAGAATTGCAGACTGAGAACTTTAGTTCTGAACCACAGTCTCATGTAGCCTAAGCCAGCCAGCCTCAAAACCCTATGTAGGCAGGGCTGGTGGTGCACACCTTTAATCCCAGTGTTTGGGAGGCAGAGGCAGAGGCAGAGGCAGAGGCAGAGGCAGAGGCAGAGGCAGAGGCAGAAGCAGGTGGTTCATGAGTTTGAGGCCAGCCTGGGCCACAGAGTGAGTTCCAGGACAGCCAGGGCTACGCAGAGAAACCCTGTCTTGGGAAAAAAAAAACGAATCCCTATGTAACTGAGGTTGACCAACTCCTAATCCTCCTGCCTCCACCTGGGATGACAGGTGTGTGCCACAGCATCTGCTTTCTGTGGCGCTGGGGACACAGGCCCGGGCTTCACACTGTGAACACTCCACCAACCGAGCCGAGCCCTATGGATGTCAATATTAAGAAACAAAAAAGGTACAAAAATGGACAAGGTGTGGTGGCCACACCTTTGGTTCCAGCACGAGGAAGGGGGGGGACGACGGGGTGTGTCTCTGGGTTCCAGGACAGCAGTGGTTGTTTGTCCCTGTCCCAGAAACAAACACCACATGGGGAGGGGTGGTAAACAGCCAGGGGGCTGCTGTCAGAATCTGCTATACAGCTGCATGAGGTTCCCACAAGGAAAGTTCGTGGGCCCAGCACACAGCCACCACCCTGAGGGACAAAGGGGTGATGTCCTCGGCTCAGGCCAGTCGTGCTCCATCCCTGCACTCAGGATGTGAGTCCTTTGTCACTGGAGCCACAGTGGATGCACTGCCCTCCTCACTCAGCAGCTGCCCAGGTCAAGTAGTATCTGAGTCAAGTGACAATGTTAGCGGCTGCCATTTAACAAGGGAAGGATGAGGATGTGTGTCATGGGAGTGTACAGCAAGGAATCCCTTGCATACATCCGGTTGACATATGGAAGCCCCACTTGGCAAAGACCATGGAGTCACTGATTGCGAACGACTGGTTGTTTCTGTCTGTAGCTTTTCTCATGTGCCAGCTATGGTTATTATTCCCACTGCCTGTGTGTTTATCTTGTGAAAATATTCCATCTACTGGGCACACACATAGCTGCGGATGGTCAGGGAGATGATTTCTGCTTAATTTATGTAATTCTGATGAATAGAAATAACACTAGGATTTTTTCATTACTCAGACTGACAAAGGAAAGTAATAGTATTGTCAGTCACAAAGACAGCTAATTTTAGACTTCAGAACAAATTCAAAGCAAACTGATTGGCCCTGGAGACAAATACGCAAGAACAATTTCCCAGGTGTTTATTGCTGATTCAAGGTTAGGCTTGATGCAACTTTAGTAGACATAACTTTCTCAGCAATAAACTTTCTGTCCATACTTCCCACCCTCAAGGTTCAGCCAACCAACTGTTGACTGTTAAGTCCTGAATTTCGATGTCACTTTCTGTCTGGGAACCCTGACCACTCAGAGCTATGTGCTTACCTTACTCACTGACCAGTCAGTGCCACCTCCTAGCTTGAGACAAAGTGTGTGCTCAGTATGGCTCTGTTTCTTATTGTTTACTCAAGAAATGTTGTGTGCCCCTGAAGATGTGATTCATATTTGTCCAGAGGATTCTGCTGTGAGGGGAGAAGTGTGAGAGATGTAGGAAGGAGTAGGAGAGATATGAGGTGTGTGTGTGTGTGTGTGTGTGTGTGTGTGTGTGTGTGAGAGAGAGAGAGAGAGAGTGCCGAGAGAGGTGTGAGAGACAGAAGAAGTGTGAGAGAAAGTGTAGAGAGATGTGGACGCAGGAGAGATGTGTGTGAAGGAAGAAGTGTATGACTCTGTGGAGAATGCAGATGGCTCTATGTGGCTGTATAGAAAATAGATGTAGCTGGGGAGAGACAAGTGACTGTGTGTAGAGATGCATGGCTGTGCAGGAGAAAGACGTATGCATGTAAAGACAGATATGTACTGTGTAGAGAAACTCTCAAGAAAAAGATTGTTCAAGATGAAGTAAAAGAGAGGCTGCTATCACAAAAGCATGTGTTTGTTCCTTTTCTTCAGTTACTACCAGAAAGTGTATGTTTATTTACCCTCAGATAAGTCTAGCCCAAAGATAGAAAAGAAATTTTTTTCTAAGTTCCTCGCTGCTCTGAGAAGGCATTCTTCCTTATACCCTAGGTGCAATCTTGAGAGCTGGCCTCCCAGGATGCAACACATACAAAGTTGATAAGCTATGCTGTAAGGTGTGTTTGCATGTGTGCACAAAAGTATATGGCCTCCAGGTGGTGGCGCACGCCTTTAATCCCAGCACATGGGAGGCAGAAGCAGGCGGATCTCTGTGAGTTCGAGACCAACCTGGTCTACAGAGCTAGTTCCAGGATAGGCTCCACAGCCACAGAGAAACCCTGTCTTAGAAAGAAAGAAAGAAAGAAAGAAAGGAAGGAAGGAAGGAAGGAAGGAAGGAAGGAAGGGTATGAACATGGGTGTGCTGTGTGGGTGCATTTGGGTTTGAAGGACCTCAGTAGCAATGGTGTGCACTGAGCTCAGCGGGAGTGGAAGTTTTCCTCACGGACCTCAGCTTCTCTGCTCAGTTCCTGTTTTTCCTCCTGTGGGAGCCTGTCTTCATACCAGTTCCTCTCTAAAGGGGGTTCCAAGAGCTTGAGAGCAACCAATAACCAGAAGGGCTGTGAGCCCCCTGTCATCCTTCTCTCTCTGAGCCTAGATTATGGTTCCCTGATGGCCCAGCTCTGCCACACACTGGTCAATGGTCGAAGAGAGAAGTCTGAAGTGACCCAAGACCAGTCCTGCATCCATCCAGTTCATTTGAACTTGAACTTGACAGAGTAACCAAGTGAAGTGTCTGGACTGCAGATCGAGGTGGCCAGTAGTCGCCTGCTGTCTCCAGGAGACTCCAAGGGGCAGTCACAGGCTGCAGTGAGCGGGCTGGGGCTGGACTGGAGCCAGGTGGATCTGCTGGGGAAGCGCCCTTTGTTTACAGGAAAACTCTCCGGTTGCCTAGCAACCAGTGGGCAGGCAAGGAAGGGCGGGAGGCTGCAAGCCATTTCTGGGCTGGGTTCCTGGCTGCCCTGACTCACTGTGACCTTAAGAAATCTCCTCTCTCCCTCCCTCTCTCTCTATCCCTCCCCCCTCTCTCTCTTTCTCTCTTCTATCCCTACCCCTCTGTCCACCTGACCAGGGAAGCTGTGGCCCTGTCACATCTTGTCACCTGGAGTCACAGGGATGGAGCCTGGTGGTTAAGTTTTGCTTTGGGGGAGGCAGGCCTCGGTTGGTCTTAGTATATGTCTTGGTGGCATCTGGATGGATGACACCTGAGGTCCTACCTACCAAGAATGCAACTTGCACCCCTACTCTGAGCAACAGGGGACAGATCCAGCTAGATGG